AAATTCTGTAAGGCACATCACTGCACGCAAATCACGGGCGGAAATAGCAACCAGCACTTTACCAGTCGTGCCAAGGTGCAGGTTTAGGACTGCCTTGTTTCCCCAAAGGGTGCAGCGAGAAGGGGGGAGTTTTTCCTCCAGCACATTTAACCCCTCCACCCCTCAGAAGGTATAAAGGACAGGGGCCGACTCTCCATTCTGAACCCTTTCTCTCTGACGATATTGCCAGGGGGCCACTCCTGAGATGCTTGCCCCCCCACCCCACCCCAGGAAAGGATGTGTTTATTACAAGTAGCAACAGGATTTCTTTTTTTCTTTTTTAAAAAGGAGAAGAGCCCAGCCGGTGTGGCTCAGTGGTTGAGCATCAACCCATGCACCAAGAGGTCGCAGGATCGATTCCCAATCAGGGCACATGCCCAGGTTGTGGGCCCGATCCCCAGTGGGGGGCACGCAGGAGGCGCCCGTCAATGTTCTCTCTCATTGACGTTTCTGTCTCTCTCTCCCTCTCCCTTCCTCTCTCTCTCAAATCAATCAAGAAAAATCTTTTTTATAAATAAATAAAAAGGAGAAGAATTGTGTTAGCTTTCTCCATGAATTGCTTTTTTTTTGGCATTCTCCTGTGCCTTTTTATGATCCTACAAAAATAATCCTATACCTATAGACTGTTTTAGACCCCGGGAAGGGAAGGCAGGAGGACCTGGAAAGCCCAGGTGGCCCAATATAAACGTACCCTGGAAACTGACCTTGTGTTTTTTTTTTGGTACGTGCCCCTAGCCGAACCGAACCCGGGACTCTGATCCACTCGCCGATGCTCCAACCACTGAGCCAAACCAGCCAGGGCCGGACCTTGTTTTTTAATAGGCATAATATTCCCATTGAATGAGCTGGGGAAAGGTCTAGATGCCTTTATCTTGGCACATCTGCGCCTCCCTTCCATTAAACCTTAAATGAAGACTCCTGCTTGAATAGCTCCAAGGTTCTGGAGTAGAAGACAGAAGGAGCTGCAGACTGAGCAAAAGTACACACTGTATTTATTATATCCGCACACAGCCTTTTATATAATTACATCCCTGTGCACTTTTTATTTTTGGTTCTTGAATAAAGTCACTCAGATGAAATTAAGGAGTGTGCGGGAGAGGCGCCTGGATGCGTCTCTTCGTTCCCATGGCAACTTGGAGGCACCTTCTTCAGCTGCCTCCTTGACTGAGGGGGCCCAAGTGATGGGGGCTGCCGCTTCTAGCGGATCCCGGAGGAGGTCTCCGTGGACCTCATGGCCACGAGGACCTGAGTAAACCTCTGCAGGTGGATTCAACTTCCCCATTCGTCCTATGAATGGCTGCGGCTTTGTTAGGGATGTGTAGGCACTTGCCTTTGAACTTCCTCTGTTGGTAAATCATCTGTTTCTCCGGATCTGTGTCTAAGGGCCTAACGAAACTCCTTCTAAGGACACCCTGATATCCTAGTTAGTAAAACACTCTCTTTTTTGCAGGATCAAATAAAAAGTTGCTTAATGGGGGACTTCAGATGTAGAAGTATATTAGCAAAAATTAGAAACACAAAAGTCAAATAAAACCACCCACTGTGAAACTGGATTCATTTGTTCCTTCTCCAGGAGCGAACCCAGATACTTGCCGCAGGGGTGTCTTTCGGATCCTGCATCAGGGTCAGGGAGGTGTTGAGGCAAAGATGATGTCACGTTCCTAATCGAAGCAGAGTCTAGGGTCTGACTGGCCCTTTAACACAGAAATGACAGAGCAGCTTCCATGGGAGCAGAGTTTTTCCCAGATCAACTTAAACCATGCCCATACTAAAGTGTTTGGATGCACGGTGACATCCCTGAGAAAATATTTAATTAAGCGAAGCTTTCTATACACAGAGGGTGAGAACTGTGTCTTTGCCTCGGATGACATACGTACCGCCTAACTGGTAGTTATTGTTACACGTAACTTTTAAAAATCTAAACCCCAGTGGCTTTTCTCAACTGCAAGACAAAAATGATCACACCGCCGTACTGCCCATTTTCCAAACTGGGGACGTCCAACTCCAGCCATATCATCGTTCCTCAATACATATTGTGGTCAAACCGAAGAGAGTTCTTTTAGACATCGAACCTCTGACCAGCTTCAATCTCTCAGAATATACACTCAAATCTGAAATAGAAAAGATCTCTGAAAAGGAGAATCCTCACCGTGAAGCCCCCACCTGCACCCTGTGTGTTTGGTGTCTCATCTGCATGTGTCTGGCCCCCTGGCATTCTGATACCCATTACGTCATCCGGATACTGAAGGATCTGATTTCAACACCGATCAGAGCAGAAACCTGAATGGTGCTCAGGGCCTCTGGCCCTGGACCAAACAGCCCCTGAGGGTTTAATGGACAAACCTTTCAAAGCACATCCTATCAGAAAGGGCTGTGTGCCACACAAGGAAGGCTACCTGACACAGACCATCTTTTGATTATGGCAGAGAATTGTATAATGTTTTAGAATTCCATTCCTCCAATACAATGAATGCCTTCAGGCAACACCCTTCATGACTTTGGAGAGAGCCACTTATATGTAATTATTCATCATTATTATTCTTCCTAGTCAGTAACATTCCTCTGCCAATCTGCCAATCTAACTCCTCCCCTTCCACTTTCTTCATGACTGGCCCTCCCTCCCTTCCCCCAACTATTCTGCTGCGCTAGCTCCTAAAGTCCGAGCCCATGACTGACTCATCCGTTTGCCCGGAACTTCCCTAGTTTCAGCCCTGCAAATTCTGCATCCCGGGAGAACCTCTGTCCCAGGCGGACCAGGATAGCTGGTCCCCCTAGTTCTGAGCCAGGTACTGTGATCCTCTTATTGCACCTGCACTTTGCAGGTGTCCCCTGGCAAGTATGTAACTTCTGAAAAAGTCCTTATAACAATCCTTGTGTAGTGGCTGAGGTCATCAGGCCACTAGGGTCCTAGATCTGAACTATTCTGAAAAAGAAACGTCTGGGGTCTGAAATATGCTAATCATGGACTTGGTTCTTGACGCCACAGATAAAACCTAGCCCGCTGTCTGCAGCTGTAAATAAAGTTTGATTGAACCACAGCCGCACCATTGCATTCATAGTAGTTTGACCGCTCTCACGCTACGAGCTCAGACAATGTTCCGCAAACCGAAAACTTTTACTATCTGACCCTTAACGAAACACATTCACCTACTCCTGATGCTTAACATGACAATAACAGTGTCCCCATTTGCTTTTTGAGAATGAGATCATATATAAGGCAGAACCCCACAGAGTCTAGGCTCCGGGAAAAGGGACACTGGTCATTAAACAAAAATATCCAAATCTAAACCTTTATCACATTTCACGGACGTTTTGTTTGCTTGTTTCTAGGTCTTTTCTATCCTCTCTCCGCCTGGGTCGTTCTGTCCACAAACAAAATATGAGCTTGACTTCCTCTAACTTGGATTAAACTAATCCGCCACCCCACCCACTGCACCTGCCTGCTGAGGCAATTTCTATGGCTCCATTCATGCAAAGCATCTGGGTTTCTGCCCCATTGTGCTCCACTGTGTATCCCCCAGCTCGGTGATTCTCCGGCGGCACAGCGGAAGCCCACAGATCTTGCACCAACGTGTGTTCAACGTTGAAGTTTTTATTTAGAAATAATAAAATAAGACATAATATATAAAAATATGTACAACCCATGGTTTGTGCAGTACAATAGGAAGACTTTAGGTACAAAAGGACAGCAAACGGGAAAATAGGAACTAACATGATTGTCAGAGGCCGGGTTTGTTCAACTTGCCGGAGGCCAGAGCTGACACCCAACGTCACTAGAAAAGAGGTTCTAGTTCTGAGTGGGGGGTGACTATGCAACACTTTTTTTTTTCCACCTTAACATCAGTAGACACGGAGTGAAAAAGAACCCACTCGACTCGTCAGGACAAGCTTCTTGCCTTTACTAGGTGGGTTATGGTGTAATGTGAGCTGAGATTTGTTATTTGCAAGGGTAACATGATTTGGGGGCGGGGACACAGCTCGTGAAATAGACATCAAGGTCTGGGATGGGAGTTCGTAGGGAAGAAAAAGGAGCAAAGAAAGACATGATGCAGAAACTGAATTTTCTCGGAAAAGGTAAAACTTCCTTCAGGAATTTGGAAAGGACTACAGTGCTAGAGTGTGACATTCTTCAAATGTCTGATTCAAGTATACGCTTAGAGGGATAGAAAACTATTCCTTTCTCGATAATCAAAATAGAGTTCGCTTTGTCTACATTTTATTTAAAAATAGGATCACCAAGAATCTATGCCTCCTCCCAAAAATAGAATGCCCAGCGAGATATGGGCACATCACCCTTTGAAAGGGAGTAAGTCCTAAGTAAATTCAACAAGGGTTTGCTCGCAGTGGAGAAGCAACATGTGTCTAGGACTAGACCCCAGACGTTCACGGAGAGTCTCTTCAGTCTGCATCCCAATGACATGTGTGCACGAATGAAGGAGACCCAGGCGATAAGGACAAATGTTTTGAAGGTAAAAAGCAGCGAAAAAATGTTGTGCATTACTTGTGTCTTGGCTCTCGACGAAAAAAAAAAAAAAGCCATTTAATACTAATAACTAGAAAAAAGCTTTCCAATGAACAGTCCATGCTGAAATAAATAACCGAAGAACATAGCAATACAAACCTTATAAGGCCAGTAAATATCTGCTAAGACCATGCTAACCGGTAGCATATAGTACTGGCTTTCAGAAATCGCTACACTGACATCATACTTCCTATGGCAAGTTTGTTTCCCTTTACAGACGTCTATTTACATTTGGCTTTAAATATGAAAATATCTGATAAACTTTATAAAATGTACACTTTAAAAACATAGCTTTTGCAAAATTTTCTTGAAAAAAAAAAACAAAACAAACAAACAACAAACAAACCTGTGCACCAGAAATTTTAGATTTTTTTTTCCCTCTAGTTCAGAAAGAAGTTGAAAGATCTCCCTCCCTCGTCCCTGCCCCCACGCCCACCCCTCTTTCCAAGAGCTCAAGTCTTTTTGTGTGTTTGGGAGGTCACCCCCTCTCCCCACTGTATCTTCATTTAACTTACGTTATCACTGAATACTCTTTGGTTTGATTATTTTCCTTTTGCAAAATATCAAAATAGCAGCAGCGGAAGCCCTCAGTACCCTCTCCTTAGTCCACGGCCGAACTGTTGTCCCTTTGGCTGATTTGTCTTGTCCACTCAATCCCAGTTCCTCCAACGCTCTGAACAGCTTCCCAAACCTGCCTCTAACTTGGGGTTTCGAACAGCATCCACTTCTCTGTCTTCGTGTCCGTGAAAACAGCCCACGTTCCGAGCCCAAGGTCACTGAAGGCTGACAGCAGGTCCCGGGGCCGACTGCCGGCCCTGCACTCAGGTCTGGCTGCTCAAGACCCAGAGACCATCACAAACGTCAGTTCACCAAATACAGGATTCTGGAACAAGCGATTTTTTAATGGCATACGGGGTATAATACCGTAAGAGAGTTGGTTTGGTTGCGAGACTCCAATTTAAAAAGAAAAGTCAGTAACCCCAGAATTCACATACGGCATACTTTAGACAGGGAGGGGAAAAAGAGAGAGAGAGAGAGAGAGAGAGTGAGTTGCATTATTAAGCTAGAGAAGGGGGGAAACTGTTTAGGAAGTCAGGCAGCCAGGCAGGAGAGGCTTCTGGGAAACCATGTGCTCTCAGTCCCCCTCTGTAGGGGTCCCCAGGGGACAAGGGTCAGCTCGGATTCAATCACAAGTGTCCCTACATAAAGGGAAAATGACCCTTTCAGACCATGCTATCTCCTTTGCTTGTGATGGTGTTCTGCTTTGTATGGCTCTTGGTGACCCTAAAATACTGAGATATTTTCATTCCTACTGTCTACCATGAAAATAAGGCCATCATCCTCTCCCTCCTGAAGACTTGGGCTGATGTACCACATCCAAGGGGCTTGCCCACATCTCGCCACCTCCCTACTGGGGCCTAGAAGCCCTCTGGGACACGGTGGGACTCTCTCCCGACACACTGACTGGAGGGAACCAGCCTGTGGGCTCCTAGTGTGGCATCTTTTCTAAGGCAAAGCCAGTCTGGACGTGTCCCGGGCGTGCGGGAGATGAATTCAACTGCAAGAGTTTCATTGCACTTTCCTTCCACGTTGGATGGCTCAGTTTTGAGGATGGCTACTCAATTCAACCGAGGTCTTAGCTTATGGAATACCTTTTGGAATGTGCTAAAAAGGAAAAGCGAGAAAAATCTGAGAACGTGTCAGCATCTCTCACCTGATGCATTAGCCGGGCCAGCACTGCCTTGCACGAAAGAAAAGTAGTGTATATGTGTGTGAGCTTCCGTTCCCCTTTCTTCTTCCCTTTTTTTTTTTTTTTAATACAAAAGTTACATGAAAGAACAAAATTTTAAAAGCACTACGCTCACTAGACTCTGTATGGACGATGTCCTATTTTCTAGAGGGCGGTTCAAGGTCTTGCTGAGGTTCAAAGTCATGGTCGCTTGATTTCAAGGCAGCTACGGAGCTTTGCTTCCTTTTTAGTGTCAGCTCCACTGTGCAAACATGTGCATTATCTTTGGTATTCATTTTAGGTAGTCTAACTTAAAATTTGAGATAACCCATTAACATCATGAAGGAAAAAAACAAAACAAAACACACAACCCGGAGGCTACCATTTGGCTAGCATTACATAATGCCCTAATGTAACCAGAGAAAGAGAGAGAGAGACGGAGAGAGAGAGAGAGAGAATATCAATTCTAGCAAACAAATTACTGGCCTCAAAAAAGCAGGCTCTCGTTTTGGCAGCTAATAGCCAACACTTGCCACTTTGAAGCACATACCATGAGCTTTCAACGAAGTTCAATACTGACTTTTAAATTACACGAAAGAAAAACTCTACACAGCCACAAAAGCACAATTTGTGCCCGTGTAGTTAGCAGCTTTTCGAGATTAAGGCAGAGACTCTTGCCTTTGTTATGCCATTAAAAACATTCTTGTTCCCTAAACAGAAGCGTTCTGGATAAGTCAAATACCCAACCAAGGCTTGCCTGCAGGTTCAAGTCTTGTGAAAACACAACACAAAACATAAACACCCCATAACTTATTCTACAACGTGTGTATGTGCCATCCGGCCACGGGAAGGCGTGTTGAGTGTTTTCTGTTCATCTCGGAGCTGACAGTCTTCCTGGGAAAAACCGTTGTGTTCGCCTCAGTCGCTGGCGGCCACTTGCCTTGACCCACCTCTTCGCCGGTACCGTCGTCTGAATCGCTGTTTGGGGCCTTGGACCAACAGGCTGTGTTTGAACGGAACTATTCCAGGCAGGAACAGGCCAGTCATATCTCCGATTCTCGCCGCAAGGGCCTGGGCTCTAGAGGTACGCTGGCCTGGTTGTGAAGGTCCATGTCGGGGGGCGTGTCCGTACTGGTGCTTTCGGGGACGCCGTTGTCACTGTCGTCTTCCTCTTTGCTCGTGAGGGCAACTTCATTCTCGTAGCAAAATGAATTTGCGTTGGAGAGGATGTATTTCTTCTCGGCTAAGTCCCTGGCGCTGCACAGGGGCGTGTTGGGCACTTCGTAGGTCTTGTGGAACCGCGAGTAGTCCACTTTGTAGTAATGCTTCTCCTCGAACAGGACCGGCTCGTAGCGGTGGCCCCAGAGGATCTCGTTCGCCAGGTACGAGCTGCGGCACTGCGTGGTCATGGCCGTGGCCTCCACCATGCCCTCCAGGATCACCACGATTTCGAAGTCCGCGTTGTCGATGTCCTGCTTACTCAAGTCATAGAAAGGGCTGTCCTCGTCGATTTCGTGGACTATCGTGATCGGGGACACCAGAAATATGCGGTCAATGCCACTGTCAAACCCCACGTTGATATCGATTTGATCCAGGGGGATGTACTCCCCTTCGGACGTAATTCTGGACTTGAGGAGCTGCGCGCGCACGTGCGCCTCCACCAGGTGGCTCTTCCGAAGGTTGCCCACTCGCCACATCAGACACAGCTTGCCGTCCCGCATGGCGATCACAGCGTTGTGACTGAACACAAGAGTCTCGTTTCTCTTCTTCGGCTTCGCCATCTTCGCCATGACCGCGCCGATGATGAAGGCGTCGATGATGCAGCCCACGATGGACTGGAAGACCACCATGAAGACAGCAACCGGGCACTCGTCCGTGACGCACCTGAAGCCATAGCCTATGGTGGTCTGGGTCTCAATGGAGAACAGGAAGGCAGCGGTGAAACTCTTGACCTCGGACACGCACGCCTTGCTCTCCTTTGTTGGATCCAGATCCCCGTGGAGCAGAGCGATCAGCCAAAACACACAGCCGAAGAACAGCCACGAGAGCACGAAGGCCAGGCAGAAGATAACCAGCATCCACCGCCAGCGGATGTCCACGCACGTGGTGAAGATGTCCGCCAGGTACCGTTGTCCCTTCTCGCCCACGTTGATGAACTGAACGTTGCAGTGCCCGTCCTTCTTCACAAAGCGGCTCCGGCACTGCTGTCGGGTGTGCACTTTGCTCTTCCCGTTCCCAAAGCCATTCGCAACCGCCATGGTGGCCAGCTTCATGCCGTCTTCTTCCGAAGACACAATGCTGTAGCGGTTGGTCCGCACACTGCCCATCGCTTCTGCTGGGGACTCCAGTGCTTCTGCTTTGGAAAACAGTCTGAGTTTTTGCAAAACCCTTTGGAGAAACAGTTTTGAATGCTCAGTGAGGACACACACCAAAAAAAATAAGGAGAGATGGGGGTCTCCAGGAGCCTTGAGGTTCTAGCAAGGTCTGTCTACTGACATGCAGAGTTACCTTAGTAACTCAGCTGACATCCAGGGAACAGGTCCTGCCAAAAACAGAGAGGTCATTCATTACAAAAGAAGTCATTATTAAGGGCTCTGGGCCCTAAGGCAACATTCCCTAGCAAGACACAGAGCCAGCTATAGATAAATAGACCTTACATTGAATTACTGGGTTTTTAATTCTTTGTGCCCTAAAAGATTTTTTTTAATTTCATTTCAAAGCATAAAATCATTAAACACAGAAAAGTTAGTCTGTGACAGTCATTCCACCAAAATTTCAGGTCCTTTTTCTCCTGCTTTCTGTAAGCTATCTAAAATATTTTATTTTATGGGTCTACCTCTCCCCCCTCATCCGCTTCTTCTGCTTTGTCTACTTGTAAGGGTCCCAAGTTATCAAGCAGAAGACAGACTTTCTAACACCAGAGTGTGTCATGCGGTTTTCAGAACTCGAACACATCCAGAGAACACTCCAGGCGAATGCAGAATGTTAATACTAAGGTGCAGGTGCATTGTGGGAGAATATGACAAGGCTGAAATCAGAAGGGACAGATTATTTCGCTTAAATGATGAAATTGAGCAGACAGTCCTTAAAATCATCTGAAATAGATCCCAGTTTCTGGGGACTGTCTGGGCTGGCTTCATCTCCACACACTTCAAGCAGCCACTATGCAGAAATGCCCGATAACATCTCTGTCAGTGCAAGTGATTCTCACTTGAAGACGCAAGTTTGCTCTGGGGGATAGAGAGCGAGTCTGTTGCCTAGCAATCAGAGTCCTGAAATTCTCCGGAGATGGGGCTGCCATGTGTAATGACAGGCTCGGAAGTAAGGACCTTTGTGCCCAAGGACCAGGTCTTTAGTGGATTGAGATAAGGCAGGAACTCATTTCATGTGAGTCCACTTCTGTGTGTTCCCAAACAGAGGCAACGGTGGAGGAATAGATCATAAATGTCAGTCGGCTTATTTTCACTTCCAAGCACTGCTGTTTGCTATAGGTTCCTATGGAGAAGGCACTCACCTTTACCTAATGTGAACAAACAGTCGTTCTCAGTTTCCTCTTGCCTTATCCTGTCCTAGGTAAAAACTATCTGTTGACTTGAACTTTCCTTCTTGGCCAGAAACACTTTTTTCCTTGACTGCTTAACAAAAGCCTCAGCAAAAAGTCTAGGGTGTTTTCTTGATTGACTATAAATGCATGCAGCACAGAATGAAAAAACAGAAGCAATTCTCTGCATGTAAAGCCACCAAATCTGTCTTAAAGGGGGACCAGGAAAAAGAGATTGAAACCCGAATAATGAGGACTCCACTTTTTCTTTCTCCTTCCAAACTATAATGAGATTAAGCAGTTCACAAAACCAATTCCAGCCAAGTCACCTGCAAACAAAACAGCAAATCCCGGATGGTGTTTTTGTGCACCCCTTACAGACAGGCAAGGTGCATTGTCTTTGAAAACTGCCTTGTTACAGTCTTCTCCCTCTTCATCCAAGTTATTATGCAAGAATGTGCCCCAACACATTTTTCCTGAGATTAGTCATCTGTGAAAATTGCAATGTGTGTTACATTTTGGCAGCTTTTGACACCTAAATGATGCCCGATTTGAAAGTGTCTTTGAATTACTTTATAAAAGAAGTTACTGTGCCTTCCCAGTCTTCCACCTGCTTCAATGTTTTGTCTGCTTCCCTATGAAGTTTGTACTTGGACAAAAGAAACAAAACTCCTCGTCCTCAGGGTTCTAGATACTGGACATGGAAAGAACTTTTTAAACAAAAAAAAAAAAGACAGCGATTTCAGCTTATTTGGCTCATGTGAAATTGCCAAGCATTTCTGCAAAAAAAGGGTGATATAACACCAAATACAGGTGTACTTTCCCCCACCCCAAAAAGAGGGGTGAGGAAAAGGCATCATTTAAATAGTACTTGTCTCCTTGAGCTCTGATTGACTTCAGAACCTTATAATTGACCCCAAGAAATTCCTTTTTCATGATTCAAAATAATCCTTCCACTCGAGTTAGTATTAGGGATCACCAGCAGACAATCTCAGATTTCTTCTGACTTATTTCCGCACTTTTCCAGATTAAAGTAGAGCGACCACAGGAAATCTAAAGACTGAATAAGGACTTTCCCAAAATCTTGACCCCAGGACATCAGTCTGAAGGCCACAAAACACACATTACCAGCTTCCTCTGAATAGCTTTCCGCATTTAGACCCCTGAAGAGAGCCTGGACTCAGCGACTATCATTGTCTTGTTTCCACTGCTAATGACAGACTGTGTCCCGCCCACATGCCCACGTCACTGACAAATTTTACCATTTCTGCCTGGAAAGGGAAAAAAAGAATTTGGGGAGGCAAAAGGGAGGCTGTTGTCACTTTGGATAGGTATGCTCCCAAAGAGACGATGCGTACACATGTGTGCACACACGGTACATGCATTCATTTGCTTGAGCTGATTCAAAGGCAACAATCTAGAACCTGTTTTAATATTCCACTAAGAAGAATTTCCTTGCTCTTCCCTTCCTGAAAACCACCCATTCACGAGCATCTGGGGAAGCTTCCATTAGGAACAGGGCTTCTGTGCAACTTTATTTTAGGGACAGATTCAAAATTATTACTTGAGAAAGAATTGATGAAGAGCAGATGAGAACACTAAGCGAAGCGACCCCCTGATGGCAACAACTCGGGAGAACTGGCATCTGATTGGGCGGGCAAAGTACAACGTACCCTCTCAGCCTAAATATTTAAGGTCCTGATGTAAACTTGAAAGACACAAATCATCTTTCACCCAGGCTATAACCAACGAGGTAGAAAATGTTTCTGGGAAATGGAGAGGCTACATGTAGGGCTGTTCATGGTAAGCCTATTTATAGGCTGAGCCAAAATTAAGCATAAGCAATGGAAAAAAATAGTTCAGTGCTTCAATCTTAGGTAGATGTTAAGGGAGAGAGAGAGCTATGGATAAAAAAAAAAAAATTTAAAGGATCACAGGGGGTAACTTAATGAGTGACCCTAAATCATTTTTACCATAGAGGAAATATTTCCAATATGGATGCTAAAAACCAGAAAAATGTAACTGTGAGCAATAAACAAGAATAAATGTGTCCCCTAGTAAGCTCACCGGGTAGTGAGAAAGTTTCTAAGGATGGGAACTAAGGCTAGGGGAGGAAAGTGTTCTGAGCTTAGAGAGAGGTCTGCTAATGAGTGTTTAGTGTGGCTATTCCCCAGCTGACGCCACACAGGCCAGCCTGCCTGTGCTCTGGGCACATGTTGCTATGTGAGCACAACTGCTAGTAAAGTAACCTCTTAGAAGCTCAGTAAACAGAAGGGAGGGGGAGGGAGAGGGGAAGTGGAGGAGGGGCGGGGATACCCATTTGTCTGTGTGATCAGTACAACACTGACACAAAACAACGCATGTAGCATCACTCAGCACGTGCAAATGCTGGAAAATATATGTATTTGGTACACAAAAACATACACTAAAAACCTTAAAACAGTCCATCTGTTCAGGTAAAGATGTCAATCTTTCCTGCTACTCAAATGTCATACAAGGACTCGACAGCTAACAGGAGATTCTACAACTGGAGAGTCTCAAGGAAGGAGAACTATTATGGGTTTTTTTTAAATGCCAAAATACAGGAGTTTAGAACAAATATCCCTAGGGACACCAATAACATAAAAAAAAGTGCCACCAAAACATGAGGGGGAGGGGCTGAAGGCACAGTGAAATGACCTTGACCCCAACTCTCACCCCTCCCACAGTCCTTGAAGTCACACCTCTTACCCCTGAGCAGAGAGATTTTTCTGGATAATGGCAAATCTAAATAAAACACTTGAGGGTGGGGGTGGAATCCAGCAGGAAAAAGGTAACAAGTCACTGTAATATACAGCAGACATACAACAGTGGTTAGTGAGAGGAAATCTCATCGCCTATAGATTATTAGTGTGAAAAAAAGTAGTAAAAAGCAATATGCATTCTTTGCATACCCAAAACATGTTTTCAAATAGCACCTTAATTCCTACCAGGTAAATCCTGAGTTTATGACACTCCCCAGGATTCACAGTCCTGGTTACCATCCTACCCATATGGCTTACTGAGGCACAAACACTGAACTGCCCATGTCTTATCTCTATTTTTTTTTTTTTAACTGTCACGATCAGTCTATGTTATGATGCAATCTTTTTGCAGAAAACGTCGTTTCCACCACTGGGCTCCCTAGAAACCATGCTGTCTTCTACTTAGGTATTTATTATTATTATTATTATTATTATTGTTGTTGTTGTTGTTGTTGTTGTTAAGAATTGTAAGTTGCTTAGGGGAGAGTGACCTAATAGTGTGAAAGTTTTGCGATCGATCTTGAGGCTCAATTCCAACTCGGGCTCCCGCTCTCTTCCCCAGCAAAGCAACTTGGAGACGCTTGCTCTGCTTGGAACTCGATGCTACACTCGAAGCAATGACAAAGAAGAAAAAAGAAAAGAAAAAAGGCCACGGATCTAGACTACTGCTGAGCACCAAGATCTGCCAAGGTTTCAGACCAGGACTCTACTTACACTTCTAACCCCCACTCTCGCTTTTTCCCCTTAGAGCGATAATCCAACGCCAGCTCCCTCACCCTTGTCTCCAAGCTCAGTATCTCGCTACAGCTGGTGCATTGGAAGTTATGAACACAAACAGATGCTGCAGAGAAATGTTTCTATTGCTCAACTGTTCCAAGCATGTCTCAGTATTTTTAGATCTGGGGATGTTCTGGTGCGCACACAAACTCTATAGGCATGATCTGGGACTCGGGAGCGTGGGTGAGCGCTACTGCAGCATGACAGCTGGGCACCGCTGGAGCGGCGGGGCAGGGTAGAGTCGGGAACGGCAGCCCCAGTCCACTCCCAAGGACACACAGGCGGCGAGACAGGAGGGAAGGAGGGAAGAAAACACATAGCAGCCCTTACCTGTTGCTGGCGCAGGAGCATGGGGACATGGAGTGGAAGTAGGGGGGCACAGAGGCATGTAAGATCCAGGAGCTGGTAAGAGCGAGTGAGCCAAAGCAAACCAGAATTTCCAAGACCCAGCTTGCCGGCGCGGGGGAAGGCTGCGCGCTGGCCAGGGATCCAGTGCGCTCTGCAATATCCTGGGCTCTTTTGAGGCGGCCCATGAGATACCGGCCAGCCTGGCTCCGCCCCCCGGCCGCTGCCGGCCAATCGCAGCGCATCTGGCCGCGCGTCCGGCCCCGAGAACCGCGGCGGGGAGGGGAGGATGCTACACCCGGCCCAAGGCTCCGCCAGCGAGGAGAACCTGCCGCGGCTTCCACCGCCTCCAGTCTCCCAGCCCGGTCCGGGAGGCCGGCCCCGGCTGGGCAGGAGGAACTGGCGCCCAAGCTTGCACAGCAGCAGGTGGGAAGCTCCGCTTCCGGGCTTTGGCAGCTGCCTAATTGCAGCCTGGCCTTGGGCAAAGTTTCCTACCCTGCGCCGAGCCCCACACTTCCCTTTTTCTAGCCTCGGTGGCCACTGGGCTGGGCGTGCTCCTCGAGGGGCCTGCGAGGTGCCAGTGCCAGGGCGAAACGTTTGCAGCCGGGGAGGATTGCACTTCGCCCGGAGCGCGTCCTCCCTTCTCCCCTCCCACCCACGCCCCCTGAATCAGCCGCAGAACTTGCGCTTCGCGGAGGAGCCGCGAATTAAATGCGGAAAGGGACGGCGAGCCCAGCTGCTTCAGACGCGCGCCCGGGCTGCAGCTGCAGAGCTGCTGGGCTCCGCTCCTCCCGCGGCTCGGCAGTTACTTACAAGGCGCCCGGGTTTCTCCGCGGGGTGAACGGCTCGTTCCCTCTCGCGTTGGCCTCCCTCCCCCCTCGATCGCTCCCTCCTCCACCGCCTGACGCGCTCTGCTGATCTAAAATCAGAGCAATTAGAGAGTAATGAATTCCCTGGAACAGCAACTCCTACAGACAGACACTCGAGCTCTGCCCTCGCGGCAGCGCCTCCCAGCCCTCATTCCCGGCAACCGGGCAGGAGCGCGCGGACCCTTTAAAAACCCAGGTCAGGTTCAGTGTTAACTGGGCCTGGAACCTGGAACTTCGCAGATTAATCCGTGTGTGTGTGTAAACTAAATAGTAAGTGCATAATATATTGGCAGTCTTTTCTTACCGCCGAGTTTGAAATCGCTGTGTGTTTAATGTTAATTTCCTTAAGCGATCCAATTAATCGTTTGTGCAGTTTATTTACTTCTCTCAAAGGCCTCCTAGAGTCGCCAAACGACTTCAACAATCTAGTTCTTATTCTGAGCGGCACTGTCCCGCTGGATTTGGAGGGGGCGGGGCGGGGGCGGGGGCGGGAGCGGGGGGCGGGTGGAGGTGAAACTAGGAATACCAGGAAAGGGTTTGCGCCTGTGCTCACCTCTGGGCTTCATATCCTCACACGGCCTCTAGGAGGTGCTGGTGAAATGTGCTTAGGCTTTGCAGATATGCACTTAATCCTGCGTTAGCCAGTGTGCCTCTTTTCCTAGCACTGAGCAAACCATTGAAACGAAAAGGGTGTGGAGTCGGTTGTGCACGCAGTGTGGCTGCTCTGATAGCCACACACATTCCGGTCCCATTGCATTTTCTGCGAGTGCGCAGTACCGCAGGCCCTGTTACCTACCGTTTTGCCTTTCGAAGCCCTGTACATGGGAATGATGCTTCACAAGGGAGGTCCACCTTGACGTTTATTTATTAAGTCGTGTGTTATTTATAAACAGCTTCAATGAACTCTGCAACATAGCTGGATGGATAGGAAACCAGGCTGTAGCCCAAAGCTAAAAGAACCTGGAGATAGACAAGCTAAGTCTAGATAGCCCAAGGACAGAGAATGTTACAACTGACTCCACTGTTGAGATCCTTCTTCTGAAATGTTTCCTATGGGATTTCTTCTAAGAAACAGGTGGGAGAGATCTAATTAAATCCTTAAAACATATTAAGCTGTAATGGAAAAAGGAAATTAATCATTGATGTATGTTCTCTTTATTATGATTCAATATGTAGGTCTGTAGATGGATACAAGTTTTCTAAACCACATGAATTCAGAGAGGCAACACTTTTATTTCCAGTTTTTTCTCTCTTTTTTTTTTTTGAACATCAATCACCCAGAAAGAGATGTCATTTCTCTGGAACTTTGATTGAAATGGTTTTAATATTCTACGTTAAATAAACTGAATACAACACAGGCCAAGGTAGTTTGATGTGGTAGGACAATCTTTAAAGAAATGAACACCAAGTTATATGATTGTGGTTGGTTGTATAAATTGAGTTATGGGGAGAGGTAAAAAACATATAAATATATATATATATTCTTAAACTCATATATATAAGTCCCATGGACTTATTCCTTGAAGTAGAAAGTTAGAGAAAAGTGGATTATTTTAATAACCAGATCTCCAAGCTGAATGAAAATGTTTACCTTATTTAGCTAAATAAAGAAACATGAAAGATTACATGTTGTAAGCAACTGAAACATTGTGAACATGTTTGCACTGATAGCATGATAGCACTGATTGATTCCATTGCTTCATCTCAGAAAGGAAATATATATAAATGTGCATTTTAATCAGTGCCTTTTCCGTATGTCCCTATCAGGAAAATTCTAGTGTTCCAATGCGATCAGCGCTTAGATCAATGTACTTCTTAAAGCGATGTGTGATACAGATTTCTAGTCACACAGTACACTTTCTTTTGGCTGAATCAGTCTTTATTTAGTAAAAATCCCCATTAGTTTTGGACACCACTGCAGGTGGGTGTTGGGATCCTTCCATGGATTAACTCTTTCCAAGGAAATGAGTTATGCTCTTACTGATTCCCTCTACAGTAACCACCAATAATATGAGAGCCAAATATTAGTCACAGTCTAGATCTGCAGTTGGAGTATGAATGGTTGGTTGGGTGACGCAGAAGGGGATTGTTCCACTGGGAACACAGATCCTTCCTTTTTACTAATATAAAGCTCTACAGCAATTAGATATAGCTTGACTTCCATTAATCATGCATGCAGTCCAATTTCACAATGGAAAGAGCTGAGGAACTCCTATCATTTGCATCTACTAGGTATTAGAACCACTTACTCTTGTTCACAGCAGTAATTAACAGTTACAATAAATAAATATCAGATTGACTTGAAATGTAGACAAGATGAGTTTGCAATCATCTGCGATGGGGACAAGCCATCTTCAATGGTATTTTAAGGCAATGAATATATTTTTATCTGTTAGAAACCAGCTTTGGCAAGTTCACTTACGGCATTGGTGAGTTTAATCTTCACTTACGGCATTGGTGAGTTTAATCTTCACTTACGGCATTGGTGAGTTTAATCTTCACATTAGGGTCAATAGATGGATTTGTTGGGTACCTCCTTTGTACTTTCACTGTATTCTAGGTTATGATACAGGGGCCACAAGAGCCCTAGGAAGAACAGTTGCTTCCTTGTAATAACTGACCATCTCCAATTAAGCAGACAAGCCATGCGCTCGTGAAATCAAACAACAGTAGGAGGCAACCAGTGATGAAGTGCTCAAATGGACTGTGCCAAACAAAATTCCCAGGGAGTGTCTGAGGAGTGCAATGGAATGGAGTAGAATTTCTGGAGGAGTTTACAATGGAAGACAACATGTATGACACATTGCCACGTGCAGTTGTGTTAGGGATGCTGAGACTAGACTAGAAGGCAACCCTGTTTGTGCCCTCAAATGCATGTTGGCCCCCAGATCTGTCTATAAATGGGCATGCAATTGTGTGGATAATTTCTAAGCTGCTTCTAAGCACGTCATGCACGCCATTGCCTACATAGACCCGGTGTTCCCTGAAGCCATGGGATGTACTCCACACACCCTGTTTGCCATTTGTCACCCCTGAAACACACAGTGATTGTGCCTGACTTATCTGGCATGCTTGGGGATGCAACGTGTCACAGAATGGCTTTTCTACACTGAATTTTGTTTGGGTGGGGATTCTTTTCCCTGATGTACTATATGCATCCTCGATCTCTCCAGTCGATGCCCCTGGAGCGCTGTCTACATGTCTCCAGTAGAGCCTGTTTGGTGCCTCTCCTGCTATCAAGTATGTTTCCCTATGTTTGTTTCTACCCACCAACTACCCACCAAGTGAGCTTTGAAAAAACGCACTGCGTGGCTTCTTTTTCTTTATCTCCTCATTGCCTTGCATATGGCCAAATTCAAAAAGAAGTCAGCCTCATTCAATGTCAGTGGAATGAATGAATGAATGAAAGTAGCAATAGTTGTGAGTATACCGTGGCTTTGGAATAACAACTCAGTTTCTGCGTAATAAACATAAACTATTTCACTTTACCTTCAGTAGAGCGGACCTATCAGGACACAGTATTAGCAGTGTCTCCTCCATTAAATGACCCTAGACAAAGCTTTTTTAGGCCTCTGCTTGCTTTTCCTTCTTCTCCATCAGTGAACGCCTTCTTGTCTCATTGTGGCTCCTGCCAATGTGCCTTGAATCTGTCAGGCTGTCACCGTGCTGTCTAATTTGCTGATTCTCATCTGCACTGGGCCGAGAAATTATGTAACCGAGGTTGTTAAAAAGATGTATATGAAGTAAAAGCAAATATGATCTAAGGGGCTTAAAGTGGATGCATGTTTTTGAAATGGAATGAGGAGAAGCTAAATTTGGAGTTACCTTGTTTTGTTCAGTTCTTTTTTTGGGTAAAAAGCTTCAGGATATGGATTTACAACATCTATTTCAGCTTCTCAGGGCACTTAAATGCTTCCATTCTAGTATTTGCTGTGTGATGAATAGTTGAAAAAGACCTCTGGGTAAATGAGGTACCCGTGTGTTTGCATATATAAATATGCCTATATTTATGTGTCTATGTATATAAAACTTATATGACATTTATGCAAAACAAAAACGTTGTACCTATGGTCACCAATAACATGAATGACTAATGATAACAGAACAATAACATTAGATCATTATTAAAAGAAAAGCCAAGGTATGCCATTACTCGTTTTATAGGTACTGACTTAGATATTTTAACGTATTAATTAGGATTGAATTCAGATATTTCCTCTCCTGCTTTTGGATTTGAGCTACATCGGCCCACTTTAAAGATTAAAAAAATTCTAATGAATTAGCCCTCTAAACAAATGTTCGAGGAAGTCATTTCTCTGATTAGCAATAGAAAAACTTTGAATTTGTAACAGATCGAAACTCTGTCACCCATGTTTCAGCTTCTGGTCTTATCAGCGAAGAAAGTCTCCATTTAAAACTTGTATTGATACCTAAATCTATTCTTTTATATGGTTTGCATACCTGAGTCACCACATTTGGGCAAGGCGGGAGCCCCACCCTGTAAACAATGCTATTCAGCAACTTGATTGTCATCTGCCTGCGTGGAAACTGAACTACGTGCAGACTCAGACTATACCTGTTAAGTCAACCTGGGGAAACAAACACCTGCCCGGAGAGCCGGGTCTCCCACTGACTGACATTAAACGTCTCATGCATGTTAACGCATGCAGCCGTGCTTTTCAAAAGTCATGCAAAACGATCTATTTCTCACTTAGACAGAGGCTAAACCCCAAAGCTATTGCTCTTAATGTCTATTATTTTTATATAAAAGTTTAGTGCCTCCTCCGTACTCAGTTAAATGAGGGAAGGAGTATATTTTATAAATTAGTGGCAGAAAGCAAATTTGAAGTACACACACACACACACACACACACACACACAGTCATATCTGTTGGCGCAATATTGAAAACCTCCTAACAGATGTAGAGGGTTAAGTTTCCAGTTGCAGTTACTTAGCTGTGGCTGAAGAGCAGGGCTCAGCATGGAGATCCCCTTTCTCAGTAACCTGCTTGCAGGATTCTGACTTTATTGTGTTTAGAGTTCACTTACACTTTACATTGTAACTGCAGTTTAAAAAAAGAAAAATCATCTACTCACCCACTACATACACATTTCTTATGCATGAAAGCATGAAACCTTCAAAG